TTTGCTGTCACGCATGTTCTCAATGCACTATTTTCCCCAAGTAAATATAAACATTAGTATTATTTCGAGGTCTGACCCCCTAGGTTACCAGAACATTTTTTTTGGGGGGGGCAGGGTCTTACTGTATAGCTCTATCTGGCCCAGAACTCCCAGGAATCTTCCTGCCTCTGCCTCCTGAGCACTGTTATTAAAGGTCTGAGCTACTACACCTTGGGCAAGAATTTTTTAAGACGCCAAATTGCGTGAGATATTCTTGTTTGTGTCCTGTAAAGTCCTAGTGAGTTATTTCAGGCTTAGTTTTATTATGTTGTAGTCTGGAATTTTATGTTCCTTCTCCTTGTGCCATGATGACTGTGTGCATGTGCATTGTGTATGTGTGTGTGTGTGTACACGTGTGCGTGTGTATGCATGTATGCATGTGTGCATGTATGTGTATATGTGTATACATGTGTGCATGTATGCATGTGTATATGTGTGTATATACATGTGTGCATGTATGAATGTGTGCATGTATGCATGTGTGTATATACATGTGTGCATGTGTGTGTGTGCTAATGATCTGGCTTGTAGATTTGGTTAAGTTTCATCTGTCCAACAAAAAGAAGCTTCAATGTTTCAAAAATGTTATGTGTAATTTCCTTCTTTGTGTTTAAACAAATTCAGTTTCTTTTTATTAATTAAATTTATTCATTTATTTTACATCCTGACCTCAGTTTCCCCACCCTCCTCTCCCCACCCCTGCCCCCAATCCACTCCTCCTCTGTTTCTGTCCAGAAAGAGGCAGGATTCCCATGGGTGTCAACAATGCATGGCATATCAAGTTGGGGTAGGACTAAGCTTCTCACCTTGTTTTAAAGTTGGGCAAGGCAACCCAGTGTGAGGAATAGGTTCCTGGAAGCCTGCCAAAGCATTAGGACAGTGCTGCTTCCATCACTAGGAGCCCCACAAGTAGACCAAGCTACACAACTGTCAGACATATGTAGAGGGCGTAAGCTGGTCTCATTCAGGCTCCCTAACTGTTGGTCCAGAGTCTGCGAACGCCTATGAGTCCACGCTAGTTTTTTCCGCAGGTTCCCTTGTGATGACCTCAACACTAGCTTGTGCAATACTTTTTCCCTCTCTTCAGCAGGACTCCTGGAGCTCTGCCCAGTGCTTGGCTGTGGGTCTCTGCATCTGTTTCCATCAGTCACTGGTTGAAGACTCTCTGATGACAATTAGGGTAGTCACCAATCTGATTACGGGAGATAGCCACTATTGCTAGGAGTTTTAGCTAGGGTCATCCTTATAGATTTATGGGAGTTTCTACCTGATTCCAAAATGCCCTCCACAATCATCAAGACATCTCTTTCATTACTCTCCTTTTCTACCCTCATAAACCCAATCTCTCATGTTCTCATCTCTGCTGCCCCTAGTCTAGCCAGGAGATCTCTTCTATTTCCCCTTCTTAGGGAGTGGAATCTAGTGGGTGGTGGCAGTCTAGCTGGCAGACAAATGAAGTTTCTTAAAATAAAACTGTATCTATACTTCAGTGCGTGGTAATTATCCTAAACCCTGTCTATGAGGACCAGGTGAAGCTCCCAGGTAAGTACTTATCTGGGAAGTACAAGGCCCTTTGTATTGTCTCTAACACAGGAAAAAAATAATCTGTACACGTTAAATGAAATACAGTATCAAAGATCAGATCCTGGAACAAGAAAAAAAGTTAAGTGTGAACTAGTCCAATAGAGGTGAATATGGGATTTGATAAGTAAAAGAAAGAATTAATGACTAGCTGGTGGGCTGGGCACCTGGATTAAGGAGCAAATGAACATCCTGGAGCCTTCAGATTCTCTACTGATGAGGACACAGCTGCGGAGGCCCTCAGGGAGGCCAGGATCACATGGACACAGACAGGTGCCTGCTCCACTGTGCACCAGCGCCACAATTCACCTCCTCTCCTGAAGGAGGCGCCAAACTTCTCCATCATCCAGGGTTGCCAGGGCCTGTCTTAGTAGTGCTGCTTGCAAGGAAATCTCTTACCCAGTGTACTGCCTCCCAATTTCAGCCCCTCGGGGATCACCCATGACACACAGCAGGTCGTCTAAGAATAGTGTTGGAAACACTAAATAGTCTGGTTCCCAAGGCAATAATGTTTTCTAGTTAAGGGTAAAGGGAACACGGGTGTTAATAATTTGCAGACCTTGTTTGTCCGACTCACTGTTACAGTGCTCGGAGCCACGGGTCCAGGGCTGGGCGCAGGCTGTTACCTTTGCAGTTGCCTTGTGATGGGGCTCAGCACGCTGCTCGGTTGTAGTTGCTTAGTCATTCTTTCTGGAAATCTGTAGGTTTAAAATACAAAGTTCTCCACTGTTCTCAACCTTCACATGCTGTGAAACTTTCACCTGTAGAATTTGTATTCTTCTGTAAAAAAAAAAAAAAAATAAATCTGTGCCCCTTAACTTCCCCAAAATATCCTTCGACACTCCTTTTGATAATTCTCATTTAGAAATCATTTTCATTTGTCTTCCGTATTTTTAGGATTCACCGACTGTTTTCTCTTACATTTTTCTCATTTCTTTACCACATTTTTCTGCTTGTCCTCATCTATATATTCTTTTCTGTCCATTCCATATTTGGAGTTTCATTTCTCATCACTTTTTCTCAGTTGTTTTTCACTTCCTCAGTGTTAAACTGCTGTGATAAACAGCACTGAGACACATGGCTTTTATTGGACAATGCCTGCCAATAATAAAAATGAATCTCTTCTTTGATCCAAAACTCCATTTGTGAAATAATTTATTTAGCAGATAACCTGGCAGATATGGGAAACAGTGATTTGGCACTGTGATGTCTAATGTTCAAAGAGTGAAAATAAGGCTGGAGTCCTAACTGAGGTAAAGCTTCAGCTTGATCTCCAGTACAAAGTGGAAGTGCCCAAAGCATAAAGACAACAGTGAAGACAGTGGAATTGAAGTATTCATCCGCAGAGGACTAGCTGAAAATCAGTATTATGGGGGAAATGCTACATAATGCTTAGTTACAAGGCAGATCTCCAAATAATGACTACTGATAGAGGATGATCAGAATGATACTCAAAGTTGCTGCTATGGAGAGTGGGGTGTGTGTGTGGGGGCAGAGTACTCTTGTACAAGTGTAAAGTGTCTCTAGAAGGACATACAGGATGTTAGTGTTACGGAATAATCTTTTTGTACATTGTGAAGACGCGTCTTTGCTATGGCACCTTCCAATTGGATTAATAAGATGACTGGCTGGTAGCTAGGCAGAGAGTGTTTAGGCAAGAGAGCTGAAGTGAGAGGATGCTAGGAATAAGGGCAGAGTCAGGAGGCTGCCAGCCAGATGTAGAGGAAACAGGAGATGGGCATGCCGTACTAAAAAAAGGTACTGCCACATGGTAGAGCATAGATAAGAAATATGGGTTAATTTAAGATGTAAGAGCTAGTTAGTAACAAGCCTAAGCTATTGGATGAGCAATTATAATTAATAATAAGTCTCAGTGTGGTTATTTGGGAGCTGGCTGGAGGGAGAGACCTGACTTGTGTTCCCAATGAAAAACTCCACTTACAAATGGTGAGGGTACCCGATTTAGCAATTTCTTTTACCATTTATTATAAAGTAAAACATGTGGACAGATATTAAAGATAAAAACCTGAGATAATTGCAAGCAATCATGACATGCACCACCCAGTTCAAAAGGGTCATTCATCCTTCTAGCCGCATTTCTTCCCAGGGGCCTCTCTTTCCCTAGTCTACCAAGGAACTCCATGATCCATTCTGACCAGCTGAATGTGAACCCTGTCTCTTGAGCCAATGCCTGACTCCACTGGACATGGGATCACAACGTAGACAAAATTTTTGTACCATGTTGGTAACTCTCTGACACTGGAAGGAAACTGAATGTAAGAGACAAGGATAGGAAGGAAATTTGATTTGATTTCCTTTCTTTTTCATAACCTGTGAATTGTATAATATAAAATATCCCATCACAAATTTAAAGTGTCTGCAACAAATAATATAAGAAAATAAGATGCATAAGTTTGACAGATTAAAAATGCAGAATTCTGTGAATTGCATCACTGTTTAAGGAAACAGAAAGAATGATACACAGGTGCCAGGCTCTGCCCTCATCATGAACTATGGAACCGTCCTGTCTCTATATTCTGTGGCTGACCTTCCAGTACATTCTGTCTCTATAAAGAAAGTCATAAATACTAGGCAGTAAGGACCTGGGATGTTGGAAGTTGCTTTTCTTTTGGCTCTTGCAGGAATGGAAACTACTGACATTGATGGGGAAAGATGGAAGAGATATTGTCTTATTCTGAACCATTTCCAAACAACTGAATAGTCCTCTTACTGCCAGATTTCTGGATTCATGGACTACACCATGCATCTGGGGTATATAATACTGCTTAGAGTGGGGAAGTCTGCATCACTTCCTGAAGGTTATTGACTGATAACCCTTCGATCACAAACTGCTCTGTCCTCATTCCAACCTTCTAATTCTTCAGCTGAGTTTAAATTTTGCTGACAAGCTTTGGCCACCAGGAGTTCTTTTAGTGTTTTTTTCATTTTGAAAAACAATCTTAGTTGTGTTTATAGATAAAACATTTCTCTCCTCTCTGAGAAACTGGCAACAGTATTTTGGAAGTTGTCCTCTTTCCATGGTTGTGCTTCTCTGCACCACTGTCTTTTGTCCAGGCTGCTCTCCATCTTGAAAATCAGGAGACTGGATCTAAGGTTGGAGTTCTGAGCATTTGGATGATGCTTTTTTTTTCACATACTTTTAATTTCAGAACAAAATAAACAAACAAAACCCCACAATACACAATACTCAACCCTACTATTCTGTAGGAGGGGATTTTCCTGCCTTAAGGCACAAGGACAGGATAAAAGAGATCCTCTAGCATGAGAAGAGAGCCAGGAAGGTCAGGGCCATCCAAGGCTTCTGGGGGGGAGGGGCAGCAGGGAAACTATACAGAGGTCATGGTCTTACCAGGGTATCTCTAATCTAATTCTTCCATGCGGGAGGCATCCTCATCGCCCTCGAGTGGGGAGATCTCATCAGGAACAGTAGCACTGGGCTCCTCTGCTGTCACCTCATCTTCATCAATACCCGGGCCTAGTTTGATCATGCAGTAGATGTGGCTGGAGTGGGTTTGGAGATCCTCAAGTGAGAAACCAGAGGACAGCAGAGCAGTCTCAAACAGCAGCACTACCAGGTCCTTGACAGCTTTGTCATTTTTATCTCCCCCAGCCTTCTGCCACAGAGTCTCCATAATGGGGTGGTCAGGGTTGATCTCTAGGTGCTTTTTGGCCATCATGTAGCCCATTGTAGAGTTGTCTTAGAGTGCCTGGGTCTTCATGATCCGTTCCATGTTGGCTGTACAGCCATAGGTGTTTGTCCCAATGCAGCAGGGTGAAGACACACGCCTCTTGGAGATTGTCACCTTCTCAACCTTCTTATCCAAGATCTCCTTCATGAGCTTGCAGAGGTTCTCAAATTTTGCCTTGCTCTCCTCCATTTTCTTCTTCTTTTCCTCATCTTCTGGTAGCTCCAGACCTTGCTTAGTCACTGAGACCAGGCTCTTTCCAGCAAACTCCTTGAGCTGCTGCATCAGTACTGGTCAATAGGCTCAGTCATGTACACCGCTTCAAAGCCTCGCTTCCGCACACGCTCCACAAAGGCAGAGTTGGCTACCTGCTCTTTGCTCTCACCAGTGATATAATAGATGGACTTCTGTATCTCCTCCATGTGAGACACATACTCTGACTGGGAAGTCATCTCATCTCCAGACTGAGAGGTGTGGTAGCACAGCAGTTCAGAGAGGCTCAAGAAGTTCGTGGAATCTTCATGGATTCCAAGTTTTAAGTTCTTGGAGAAGGCCTCATAAAATTTCTTGTAGTTCTCTTTGTCTTTAGCCAGCTCAGAGAAGAGCTAAAGGCACTTCTTCACAATGTTTTTGTGGATGACTTTCAGGATCTTGAGCTGCTGGAGCATTTCTCGGGAGATATTCGGAGGTCCTCAGAGTCAACCACACCACAGATAAAGTTAAGGTGCTCAAGTATCAGCTCATCACAGCTGTCCATGATGAACACACAACAGACATACCGTTTGAGGCTGTTGTTGTTCTTTTTTTTTTTTTCTCAAAAAGGTCAAAGGGAGCTTGCCGAGGAATGAAGAACAATACTCTGAATTCCAACGGATCTACAGAGAAGTGCTTGACTGCCAAGTGGTCCTCCCAATCATTGGTGAGGCTCTTATAGAATTTGTCATATTCCTCTTGAGTGATGTCATCAGGGCTTCTGTTCCAAACGGGCTTAGTCTTTTTCGCCTCTTCCTGATCAAAGTCTTTCTCCTCAATTTTCTTTTTCTTATCTTTGCCACTGTCATCCTCCTCATCGGATCCCGCATCTTCAGTCTTTGGCTTCTCCTCCTCATCCTTATCTTTTCCTCTTTCTCACCCTTCTCTTCCTCTGCTTATCATCACAGATCTCCTTCTCTCATTCCTTCTCCAAATAGAGGGTGATGGGATAGCCTATGAACTGTGAGTGTTTCTTCACCGCTTCCTTGACCCTCCTTTCCTCTAAGTACACTGTCTGGTCTTCTTGGAGATGAATGACGACTTTGGTACCCTGGCCAATAGGCTCACCGTGGTCTGCACGAACTCATACTGCTCATCATCCTTGTGCTTTGTGATCACAACCACCTTCTCCGCCATGGGATAGGCCAAGTAGAATCCAACACCAAACTGCCCAATCTCAGAGATGTCGGCACCAGCCTGGAGAGCCTCCATGAAAGCCTTTGTGCCAGACTTAGCAATGGCCCCCAAATTATTTGTGAGATCCCCTTTTGTCATGCCAATGCCTGTGTCCACCAAAGCCATCGTGCACTCATGAGGATTGGGGATGATGTCAGTTTTCAGCTCTTTGCCACTGTCCAACTTGGAAGTGTCTGTCAGGCTCTCATAGCGAATCTTGTTCAAGGCATCAGAAGCATTGGAGATCAACTCTCGAATGAAAATTTCCTTGTGTGATAGAAAGTATTGATGATTAAGGACATGCGCTGGGCAATTTCTGCCTGAAAGGCAAAGGTCTCCACCTCTTCCTCGCCATGGTTTACTTCCTCAGGCATCTTGACAGGAAAGCCGAGTAAAGTGGGCAACGTGGGCACGGAGCACATCCAACTCTCACACAGAGCCTAGGCTACGCAGGGGTGACTCAAGGGAGCATGTGGATGCTTTGAGCAGCATGAAGCTCACGTGATCTGCCGAGCTTTGTAGCTGGGCATCTCGGATAGTGGTAGTGTCTTTATGAGATTTTCCCCCGAGCTCTTCAGATTCCTGAGCAAAGCTTTTCATCACTTGCTGGAGGCCTTGAGTTCGGAGAACTTGAGGATCTCAGTATTAGTGCAGCTCCCAGGGGAGTAGAGTCAATAGATCTCCCTCTCAAGAACTAAATTACTCTTATGGGGCTGCAGATAGATCTGCTCCTGTCAAGAGTTGTGAGGCAGGTTAAAGATCTGCTCTGGTGGCCTTACTCAGGGTTGCATGGCCTGTGGAATGTGACAGTGCAAAGACCCAGGAAGGCATTGTATGCAGCTTTGTTGACTACTAAGCCCTGCACCCAGGACCCTGTGCTCTGTTTTGTCCTGATGACTGTGGAGCATCAGAACCCATCGCACCTTTGACTGAGTCTCGGTTTCACTCGACCAAAGAAGAAAATGTGTTGCCTTCGAAACAATTTAGACAGAGGGGTGGCTATTTGCACCTTGTGGGAAAAAAAGCCATGTGAAAGCAGCTCCCTAGAGAGGTTTAGTGTAAATGGAGTGGAACTCTCAGTTTAGAAGACTAGGAACAAAGAAACGCTTCTTTCAGGGTCTGTTCAAGATTGGCACTTGGGAGTCAAGTAATAGGAAAACATCCCCAAGTTTTCCTTTCATAGTGTGGGCACTCAGGGGCCAGGACATCTGCTCATTTGGGAAAAGAAAAATTAGAAATAGTAGCATGTCTTTCACTTCAGGAACCCAGACCAATAGTGGATTGGCAGAATGCTAGCTTGTTGCCATATAGACACACACACACACACACACACACACACACACACACACACACACACACACACTATCATGCTGTCCAGTTCAACTCTTTCCCGCTGATTGACAGACTTCCTTATTGCATTTAAGTCAATTTCTATAAACTTGCATTAGTGTTTAGAGAGCTTCATCTGGGCTCTTTAAGACCCAAGACATTTATTATAAGATGCAAATTTCCCATTTCAGTTTCTACCTTTTCTCCATTACAAGGAGCTTTAGGGCCCTGAGGAGATTTTTGAGTTGAATGTGGGGTGGGGGAAGGAGAAGGAGGCAGGCAGGTAATGTCTTCTCCCATTGCCCTCTTCTCCTGAGACACCCTGGGATAGGGAATCTGAGACTTTGGCACCTGGCTGATCCTGGCTGAGGTTTTGATCTGGACCATTAACACTCACACAATTGAGCAGCAATTTTGTCCTACCCACAGTCCACTGGGGCCTTGCACCCTGGATCCAGGGAGGTCTGGTGTACCTGCTGCCTCCACAGGCCCTCTCTTTAGGACTAGACTTTATGACTACACTCCTTGCCCCATCTTGGTTGTCCTTTCATATTGTACCCACCCTCTTTGCTCATGGCTCTGCTTCAGGACAACAGGCATGAACCTCATGTGTTAAACAGATGTCCAGTGGGGAAGAACCTAGTGTACTCTCTCCCTGCAGACACTGGGTACATGCTAGGGGATCCATTGAAAGATGACAGCAGTAGACATTTCGACACCTGGACATAGCTGGATGCAGCTGGAAAAGGCTTCAACCTGCTTTAGGCAACTAATAGTGCTTGCAGCCACAGGAAGGAAACACCAGACTTGTAGCTCACTCAAATCTCAGGGTTTATTTTTGTTGTTATTGTTTGGCTTTGTTTCAGGAAGGTCTATGTTTAGAGCTCTCTGGATTACCTATACTCTGGGCTCAATCTTACCTGAAACTCACGAATCCATAAGAAGCCAACATTCAAAGTACTCTGGGCACAGTGGTTATTTGTCAATACTTGTTGAATGAGTCAGGATGGGAGAGTGGAGGTATCTGGTGGCCTGCTGTTGGATCCCATTGTGGGAAAACATCTGCCTTCCTTTTCTTTCCTTGGCGTCTCTTATTTTCAGCATGAGGATGTCTGCTTCTCTTTCATCTGGGGAAAAGGGCAGCAGATGTGAGAAATGAAGTCATTAGTTTGGGAAGAAAAACTGAAAATGTACATGCCCCCTCCATCATTTAGTATGCAACACAAAGCCTCAGCAAGGCTCCCGTTCTGTCACTTGCCTCAGCACAGCTTGTTATCTTAACTCCATCCTTTGGTCACATTCCTCCATTCTAGCCAAGTTGGTTCTCCCATTCCTGCCAAAATACCAGCTCACTGAAAAGTCTCTAATGACCTAGAGAGAAGCACACTCCAGATGGTGGCTCTGTTGTCAAAGTGTTGGTGGTAATATCATATGTGACTCATTGCTCTTTATCATGCCATGCTCCAGTCTTCTTCCCCGGGTCCTGTAGAAAAGCTCACATCTTTTGGTAACTCTAAGCAATAGAAACTTTAACTACAACCCTGAAGTCCTGTAACTCTTAGGGTACAGTGAGCAGAAGACACAACCCATGGTGTCTCTTAGCCAGGGTCTCGAGACTTCAGCACAGCTAACATTTTAGTGGGAGATTCTTGGTTGCCTCAAGTTTGTTGGTCTCCACTCCCCACCCCTCACTGCTTCCTTCAAACACATTCATTTGCGGATTTCTTTCCATGTAATCATTTTAGATAAAACTCTCCATCATCTTCAGTGCTTTCCTCACACACACAGTAAAGTCTCCCAAGTCCACCTAGAGAATATGAGGGTGTCTGTAGTAGAAGGCCAGTAGAAACTTCCCAAGTACAATGCTGTTGAAAAGTAAGAACTCTGAACCACAGGCATGGTGGTGACATTTATAAGTGACCTTATTTTAGAAACCTGGTATAAAAGATTCGTGGGATTTTGGCTGTAGCAGCGAAAACAGGAGCTGTGTCAACAGTTCACGTCGAGTGAAAGGTATTAATGTAGAGGGGGAAAGGTGAATTGTCATTGCCCTGCATTGGCCGAATCATGTATATGCAGGTTCCTATGTTCATTAGAGATATTAAGAGTTGAATGGTGTTTCTTCTCATCAGGCTAAATGATAGCTTGTGGGATTCAAAGCGGCAGCTGGATGGAGAGACAGCACAAAGGCAATCACTACCACAGAACTTTCCAAGACCTTGACAGAGATGTGAATGTGATCCCCAGACATGGGACACAAGTGGTTGGGAATTCCCAGCTAAGTGGTAGAGACCATGGTTTTAGAACCCAAAAAGGAAGTGCACTTCAAAAGAGAATGAGAAGGGCTTCCAAGCTGTTTTAGGTTAAAATTGTTATAAACTACCAAACAACTGCTACACTTGCTCAACAGCTGCTCCGAATTCACCCCACCTCAAACCGTGACATTATGAGTGACAAAAATTACTATGTTTCCTCTTTTAAAATGTTACTAAATTGCTTTAAATTGGGGATTTTAAGGATTTACAGAAATTCAAGGTACAGAATTCAGGATTTTATTAAATTAAAATATATAGTTTTATTCTTACAAAGTTTCATATAATTATTCAATGTATATTGATTACATTTATCTACTTCTAGCTTCCTCCAGCTCCCTCTGCTGCCTCCTCAGCCTGTCTTCCTCCTAATTTCATGTCCTTTTTTTGGTATTAATAACTCTCTGAGCACAATTAGTGCTGTGAATATGCTCACTGGTGTGTGGCCATTTACTCAAAAAGAGTGACTGTCTCTCCCTCAGCAGCCATTAACCACCCATAGCTCCTCCCAAAGGGGTGGGGCCTCCAGGGCTCCTTGCCCATCCACGCTGAGATTTTGATTGGCAGGTAATTATGATTGCTGTGAGTTCCTGTGAGCAGTAGACATGCCATGTTCAGACAGACTCTGGGATTTCTTCACTGTATTTCCATCAACTGCTGCTTTTGTCCGTTCCCAGCATGACTGAAGCTGCCTATTATGATTAAATCGTGTTGCAAAACAGCTGTGGTGAGAGTAGTACCACAGCACCCCAGACTTACCATTCCGCTGTGCTGAGCTCTAACTTGGATGACCACTTTCCAGAAGTTGGCATACTTAGACAAGGGCAGAAGACAGAGGGGCCTGGGGCTGGCACCACACAGCAATAGCACCCCTGGGATGCCGAGGTTATTTTTTAACTACTTATTAAGTAGTTATCTTTAACTACTTAAAGAGAGCAAAGTGGATTACATCTCATTTAGCTCATGTTCACAGATCAACATATGATTTTTTTTTCTTCTTCATTAAACAATAGCAAAGAACTATGGCCCAGGGTGACACCAGATGCCAAGATTTGTATATCTACATTTATGTATTCAGTGAAGAAAGACTTTAATTTGTAATAGTATCTTGCTTTGAAAAGATAAGGGCTTAGGTTTGAACTTGAGGCTCATGTACTACACAGGTGGGGAAGGAGTTTTCTCAGGACCCCAGCTTTTAGGCCTAAACATATTTGCACAATAGCATCAGGTTGCAATTACTGCAGTCAGAGCTACATTTCTCAGAGTGTGATCCTTTAGAACAATTTTCTTCCCTAAAGATGGATTTGGACTGAACTGTTGTTATTTTATTGCTTATTTCTGTGGAGATGGTGCACAGACCCTCCTGGACACCCCTAAAAAGAGATCTCTGGACTTTGGGAGACAGGCTACATGGATTCTCTCCACTGGAGAAGATGAGTCAGAAAGGAAAGAGAGAGACTACTGAAAACTGAGAAGTGAAAATATGGAAGGCAAAATAGAGATACAGTCAGGGGCGGGGCTTAGAAAGGGAACAACTGGGCCTATGTAGTATTTTAAAAGGAACAATGCAGACCTTGGGAAAGGAGTGGCTGCTGGGGCATACACTAAAACTCTTGGAGACTATTAGGCAGATTTCCATGAAGGATTTTTTAAATTAATAATTATCATATATACACATATACGATGTGTGTGTCTTTCTCTCCATGTCTGTCTGTGTGTTTGCATACATGTCA